AGCAATGACATTAATTTAGTTATGATAACATCACTTACAAGTCGTCCAGACCATTGTTGCTTGATTTATAGCAAAAACGTTGATTTGTGCCTGTTGATGGCCTTGCGCCTTTTTAATAGATCTCATACCTTAGATGCGTATCGTTTCAGAAAAAATCCCAGAAAACCTAACATATTTTACCATACCGTGCGCCTATCCATTTAGCAATTCAATAGTAAACTTTTTCTTGAAAAAATAAATCTTCCAGATTTGTTGAATTTCCTAGCAGAAATTGCCTGCCCCCCCCCCCTCCGTCCCATATTCACGATCACCGGGCGTGACACTATACACCACACCAACTACTTAATATTTACACAGAACAATTAACCACCAGTATCATGGGAAGGCATCATCTGTGGTCACGTGGTTACATAACAAGACAAAGCCCAGTGCGTATGACAAAACACAGTCTCTCACAAATAATCTAATTAATTAAGGAAATGTGTTCGAAGTTTAAAAAAGGGAGAATAAGAAGGTGAATTCTGTCATAAGCAATAATTTAGTAAACCATATACACTTATATTATTTTGATTATGCACTGACTGAACAAATAAAAATGAACATTGCCTTTAACTGCATGTCTTCAATATTCAGGTTGTTACATCATTGTATACAATATTGTTGCTTCACGATAAAAGAAACCCTTTTTATCCATCATTCGCTTACAATTTAGAATGATAGTATTCTCCGGTGCTATTTGAATCGGGGGGGGGGGGGGTGCTTTTTGATAGTTTTGTTTAGAAAATCGTGCGAAAAGTGCTCAGAGTGGTGAAAACCTGCGGGAATTTGAAATAATTTCTGGCCAGGGAGGGGGAAACTACCGAACCTCCAGCTTCCCCTGGTTACGGAACTGCTTATTGGTAATTTGTATAGCCCATTATAAATCTCCATTCAGTTAGAGTCATCAATGGTGAAATCTGTGTTGGAGTTAGCTTCTTATCAACCTCAGTTAGAGTCATTCTAAGTGAAGCCGTTTTCTTTCAATTTCTCTAATATCGCGGGTGCTTGAGCCTTTATTTGTGGTTGTTTACAATTATATCTTTTTTAGTTTGCATGGCGAAACTTTTGGGATCAAGATTCAGCTTGGTTTGGCTGTAATTGGAGATTTATCGAAAACGAACGAATTTTGTCCACCATCTTGAATGAAGCTAACTGCAGTTAGAGTCATCCAGTTGTGGAACAGTGACTATGAAAACAAAACTTCTACATATTCAAAGTGAAATACTTAACTTTAAATTAAACCAGAACCCACATTTTATAAATCACAGAAGAAGCCTACGTGATTTCTTATTCTGCTTCAAACAAAGAAGTTCACACTGCAAATAAGTCGCAAATATTAACCTAACATAAGTGCCTGAAAGGTCAGCCAAATTGGAATTCTAGCTTCATCTTTTAAAGGTCATCCCTTATTCAAGTTAAATAGTAAAAGCATGCCTACCTGGGGGGAATCAAAATCTCCAAACTGGTCTAACCCATAACGTAAAAAATTCCCCACTTCCAACATTTGGTCCTGGTTTGTATATCCTAGCATTAGAGATGTGTATATTCCAATAAATAAAATCAGAATTATCCAATATTCAACAGTTCTAAATTCCTTGACTGTCTTAGATGTAGAGCAAACTTGTTGTATTGGGGTATTGTCCTTCTCTAATATTGAATTAATCAAACTTATTCAAAAGGGCTTAAAATAAACCAAGCTGTGATTGGTCAATACATTCAGGTAAATATTGTCATACAAAGTGCACCATCTGTCGCAGTTTTTGGCCAATTACAGAACCCTTTAATGACCTCCAACCCTGGGACATATAAAGCAAAAAGCCTAGAAAGCCACTTCAAATATCAAGTGCTTTAACACAAAATAAGTTCTACTTTAGGATATTCAATACATATTGAAAATAAACTTCAATTAAGCGAAATGTGTTCAGATCTCAGGATACTTGTTCACTTTTTCGATAATGCTCTAAATGAGCCTGCCCAGCTCACCTAACAATGTTTAATATACATTTATCAAATATTATGTATTAAAAAAATAATAACCTATAATTTTTTTATCATTTTAATCATACAACTTAATTGTCAAAATATTAGCAAACACGTATTTCATTATCTGAATATAGGTAATTGTACATATATCGTATACATGTTAAACAGTAATGAGGCGTTGACATGTAGTAACAATTAAATATATAAGTGTGCAAAGGGCAATCAATGCCAATCAAATGTCCACTAACTGAAGATATGGTCAAATAAAGTCTGACCCCCTGCGTATGTAATTGTACTAATTAGGACCATTAATAGGTTGTTTTTTATTACATAATAATTTGTATATAATATGCAATTAACACTGTTAGGAAGGGCCTAGGCTCCAAGAGCAATATTACCCCCAACCTCTTAATCAAAATTTACTGTTTCTTTCCTTGTAAATATTAGGGGTACTGATGAATATATATGTGTATTTTTTCCAAAAACTCCAACTTCATTTTCACTCTTAAAATAAGAAGTGATTTGTTAATCCTTGATCTTGCCAAAGCCTCTATTATTTCCTATAAATGTTAGATAAATTACAAAGAGAATCAGAATGTCAACATCTGATCAGAATATAATGTCAGAAAATCACTGCATTGCATTTTCTACCTCTTGGCATTTCTCATTCAAACTTCAATAGAGTACCATGATGTACTTTCTTTGAGACTGCTAAGATTCTATCAGCAGTAACAGTGTAAAATCACATGTTTAGTCAGAGGATGTTGTCACAATGGGGATTCAATGAAAAGATGGGACACCAAATAGGAAAACTAAGGGTTGCCTCTGGCACTCAAATCACCAAATATATCCCTTTAAAACATATGTAAAAATGATTCTTCAAAATGATGATTTTGAGAAAACAATGACATAAAGACTTCAAATGGTGTAAGAAGTACAATGGATGAAACACCACACAGAAAAGAATGAATGAAAAAGCACAAGGGAAACAATGGATGAAACACCACACAGAAAAGAATGAATGAAAAAGCACAAGGGAAACAATGGATGAAACACCACACAGAAAAGAATGAATGGAAAAGCACAAGGGAAACAATGGATGAAACACCACACAGAAAAGAATGAATGGAAAAGCACAAGGGAAACAATGGATGAAACACCACACAGAAAAGAATGAATGCAAAAGCACAAGGGAAACAATGGATGAAACACCACACAGAAAAGAATGAATGGAAAAGCACAAGGGAAACAATGGATGAAACACCACACAGAAAAGAATGAATGGAAAAGCACAAGGGAAACAATGGATGAAACACCACACAGAAAAGAATGAGTGGAAAAGCACAAGGGAAACAATGGATGAAACACCACACAGAAAAGAATGAATGGAAAAGCACAAGGGGAACAATGGATGAAAAAGCACAAACAGTGAGACATGAAATCATTAATACAAATAGTTTCAATGTTTTAATCTGGGATTAACATACTGAACTTAAGTTTATTCATCACTTCTCTAATCCTCCATTGTATTTCATATGACTGAAGTGAATGCACTGAAACAACAGTTTAATAACAAAGGGTGCAAAGATTGCATTTACTGTTCCTCTTCTCTATTTACAGAATCATTATGATATTAAAATGCAACAAAATCAAAGTAGCACTCATATGCAAATTAGCAACAGCTTTGCCAAATCAGATTGGTCAACAATACTTCAAACAATAACAATAGAAATGAAAATGAGAAAGATATTTCAGATTTCATGAAAAAATCAATATTATTAAAAATGAAAATTACAGAATAGGAAATAAATCTCAAATATAAGAATCTACAGTAATAGAAAATATGGTCTAAGTAAATAAAAAACGTTCAAGATTGAAACAAAAACAATTCAATGAAAACATAATACCCTAACTACCATCATTTATGTGAACTACATGTATTTCTCCTGCAGAAATTAGATCAATTTCCAATAGAAGAACATGATCTTGGGATTACTAAGCAACCTCCTGCGTTTAGACCACCCAACCATTACATGTCCAACGCTACGTTTCAGAAAAATCAAAAGTTTTTTAGAAAGAATGTAATGGAGGCCGACTGAGAAACCACCCACATTTTACACTAATGTAATTCCTGGTAGAAATCTTTCAACATTCATGATGACAAACGAAACAAGTTTGTACGCTTTCAACTCCACAACAAATCAGATCAAACAAGAGGCGATATATTATGGCCAGAAACCACAAATAGAATAAAATCATCTAACCATCAATATCACCTTTTCAGACATTAAATTGTATTTATAAAGAGCAAAATAAACTTCTGTTTTGGGATTCATATTGACCGAAAATGTACAGATCTGAATAAGTAGTTTACAAATCTTTTAAAGCGTGAGACAAGCTTTTAAGAAAGGAATGTCCAAGTTGCATTACTACGTAACATTTTCTGTAGTTAGCGTTAAAATGAGTCGTAGAAATCAGATATGCAGTATATTGGGTCTTTATGGCGAATAACACAACATAGGAATAGATTGTCAAAACATCTTATATTCTCAAGTATAACTTCGAGTGTTTTGTCTCTTTATCAAGGGAGAAAATCAGCAAGAGTCTTAATCCATATATTCCAGTCCGGGAATACAAAACAGAGGAATATGAAAAAATTTAAATAAATACAAATTAAAACATATCATTTAAGAATAGGAGACAGACCCCCTACACTCAATCCAGGGTAATGAGGATAAATATAAAAATCCAGAGAGGAAAAGATATTCGTGAGCAAAGCTGGCAAAGGATTGTTCCTGTGAATCTATAATCATACCACCTTTCAATAATCTAGCAAGATATTGCTGTATTGTTGCATAATATAGACATCAGATAATTTATTCTAAATCAACACATAGAAATCTGATTTCATTGCAGAAATATCAGACAGGAGCCAGAAATAAATGAGGGAAAATGTTAAGTGATGAAGATCGACTTACTGAACCGCCACTTTTCCGCCTGTTTTTTGGATCTGTGTTCTGAGGTGTTGGCGTGAATTTACCCCCTCGTCCTGAAAAGTCATTTAACAGTGATGAATAGATTCATTTACTTATAATTTTGGGGATATTTTTATGCATCATTTACTTTAATTCATTTAAGATTATATAAAATAATATTTTGTATGGTTTTCAATTTTATGTTATTTATCTTAGACATTTAGTTCGTGAATAAGATTAAATCTTAAAAAAATAAAAAATGATTGTAATTCTTAAAATAAACACAGCCTTATTTTTTACTTAAACAAAATCAAGGCCTCATAATAATGACTATAATTGTAAAAACTATGGTACAAACTAAAATAAATAAATAAATCAAGCAACTGGTTCATGCATCTTTATCCTACCTTCGTTTCTTTTATTCATCATATAATAAGGAGATCCTGGTTTCCCTCCTGTGGGAGATATAGAATCTGGGGGAGACATTGGCATATTATTACTCATCATACCCTACAAATACAGAACAATATGATAAAAATAATACTTTTCTTCAATAAAAACAATCTAAGAAATTAACAATCTGAGTTTTTTGTTGTTCAAAATAGAAAGAATTCAAGAAGTTTTTTATGATTAATTAAATAAATGAATTTAGTTGACAGATGTAACATTATATAGGTAGTGTTTAATAAAAAATTGCATCCAGGAATTTAGTCAAGCATTCTTTAGTCTTAATAAAAAATATTGTACATGAATACATTGTCTTGATGTATCCATTCTACATCATGCTCCATATTTTACATGTTGCATTAATATTTGCTGATTTTCAGAAATTGAAAATCCATGTTTAATTGAAAATTAATATTTCTTTCTTACATGCTGAAGTGGAGTCTGAGGACAAGCGTAATAAATCACACCCTCATAGATTCTAGCTCCATCATAATAAAAACAATTCTCCATTTTTCAGATGAATAATTTCCAAATTCAAATCCAAGCCAAAATAAAACAATCTTCAGAATTACTGCCTCTGCAATAACGATCTGATTTACTATAAAAGGGTATGATTTTTCAGTTTCCATGGCAACAAGCTTCAAAAGCATCATTAGCGAATAAAGTTGGGACTAAGTGGTGATCAAAAGCCAAGTGTAGAATCTAACACATGGGCCACAATGCTATACTAATTCATATCTTATAATTACGTTTATACATTTTTTAGGTTTTGCCAGTAATGGATTCAGAATATATGATCAATCTACATGCAAAGCCACTCATAAATACTGTCTTGGCACCAAACCCAATTGTAATCTGAGACTAAAGTCATTTTTTTATAATAAAATCCCTATTCAAGAATCAAGATACAAGATATATTCAGTTTGAATGGTTAAATTTTCTAATTATTCATTGAAAATAAGGATAACCAATTAGCGAATCAAAATACGACGCTGAGGAATCGTAATGTCAAAACAATTCATAAGGTGATGTGGTAAATGCGCATATATACTGGTATTTCATGGGGAGGGATATGAAAGCTTTTAACCGTGCGATCTATATGTCAGCTAGGTGGCATCATCCACCTGAGCCTCCAATAAATACACATGGAATCTTATTAACAGATATCAAAAACCATTGATTCACTTTTTTTCATGTTCAGAGCTTTTAGTAGACTTTCTGTGGCAATTGATTTAATTTTAATGTCTTTGGTTTGAAGAATTAGTATGTGCATGTATAAGTGAATTGTTTGAGGTCACGAAGTAGAGATTGAAATTTTTTTTCAGTTAGTATGTTCTGAAATATCAGTAATATTTGTTTGTTGATGCTGTTAATTTCAATCTGATAAAAAAATATTTAGAAAATAAAATGAAAATTCAAAATTACAGTATTTATTTCCCATTTATAAATAGTACGTTTTATCATTTCAGAAAGTATCTTGACATATAAGTATGAAACGTTATTTATAAAGTGAGAAAATAAACTGCACGGGTTAGATTATCCGTAAAATTCCAAAGAATACATTTAACGCTAATAAATCACTTAAATTGTGTCTTCACTATTCAATCAAGCTTACATCGATGTAACATATGGAATACTTTAAAACAGATGTTAACCATTTAAAGTAACACACACTTTAATTTCTATTCATAGGTCATAAATCAATCAGAGAAATTCTCACTCAACTATTGTCTTCATGAAACTGTATTTGTTACTTCATATTTGTTTTAAAGTTAGCTGATTAAAATAAAACAAAAAATAAAAATCTTTAAAGAACATATTGATTTAATGGTCGATCAATTGATTTACATGAGAGAAATTACAAAAATGTATTTGTTTTCAACTTTGCAGATGTTATTTTAAGGAATCTACACATTTCTGTATCTTAAATCTAAATAATATCACCATCTCAAAAAATATCATGGACCATTTTTAGACATTATATTTGAGATACCAGTAACACTAGTAAGGTCAAAGCAATATTTGTTTGCAATTTTTGACCTCCCATATCTCTAATTTTTGACCTCCCCCTATCGTTGTCATTGCCTCTCTGAAGATTCCATCTTAAAATTCATCAACCTCTTAAGAGTACTGGGTCCCAGGTGGCAGAAATGATAGAAAAGCAACAATATAATAGAGACAACTTCTTTACTCTTTTCCAACGTCCCCACTTAGCCACGTAAATAACGCTGCCAGTATTCAATTATAGCAATTACCGATCCTTATATATTGTGTTAGTAATAGCGTATTAAGTATATTTACCATCAAACACTGATAATGCTCTCTTCATAACCCCACTCACCCAACAAATTGCCCCGTGCAATTTTCATCTATCATCCCAATTTATTTTATTTATATTTATGAAAGATACCGTTATTTACACTCGTTTAACTCTGCTTGTTTAATACACGAAGTTCTCCTAAACTAGTCACTAATACTCCGTAATGGGAATTAATAAACTCAATATCCTTCTCTATGGATCTAATTACTTGCGGCATTTCAACATTCACTCTAAATAAAGAATAATTACATGAACAAAACAATTGATAAATAAATAGAATTAGAGACTTATCTTAAAAATGAATTAGGAATTAGATCAGGTATTCTAGCATCAGAAAATATTTTATCGCCAAATTCAACAGCTTATTATATTGTACTGCCATCTATATATAAGAAGACAAACTAAGAGTTTTAGAAAATATCACACACACATTTTAACAAAATAATTATATTTTCTTTATCACAAATCCATACATAATGACTTAATGAATTTTAAACAATGAAATTAATTGAAATTAAACAGTGTATAAGCGTAAATTTACTGGACTTAAGAATTGTATAATTTTAACTGTTTTGGTTTTTTCTTCAGAGTACAATATTTTAGCATACGATATAAGGCAAGATATAAAAAGCCTGCTATACCAGTTTTCCTCAATTCAGTGATCTCCCAAAACATAAAAAACAAGCCTTATCACAGATCCTTGAATCCAACATTTACTTGTTTCAGAAACTTCAAAATCTAAAATCATTTAAAATCATGTGATGAGGATGCAAACCTCTAAGTAGGAACATTTCAATTTTTACTGCATACACCAGCAACTGAGTTCAGAAAAAAACCTTAGTGACATATCTGTACTTGATATTCTAGTTTTCATGAATATTAAAGGATACATGTAAAGACCATAGATAGATAGGTACTCATTCAATGAACCAATTCATAATTTCAATTTAATTACAGGTAACAGCTGTTCTGAGGTCATTCTGATATTAGCAAAGTACTGAAATAAAGCATAGACCAATCTACATACATATACGGTATCCAATATGACAGAAAAATAAATTCGTCTTTTGCTATAACAGGATCACTTTCGATCATACGGTTAAAATAAACTAAGGCAAAAATATCAAAATGGAGATCTGTATGTTTGTTTCAAATAAGTTTTCAATTTTGTGGATAAGTATAGAGATAATAACTAAAACAAACTTATTAAATATCATAAATTGTTTGAGGATTTTGATCTTTTATTGAAAGCATTATTAATCCTGGATTATCTATTCAATTATCAAGATGATTTATCATTGTCATAAAAGTGTCTTAATAATCATTATAGAATTGGATATATTTGGATTTTTGGTTCAATGTTTGGAATATTTTTATCATCATTTCATATGTACTTTTCTAGTAAATATCACATAATAATATCATCAGAGTGAAGATTCTTATAAATAAAATTCATAGTATGAAAGAAAGTCTAGCAGGATTTACAAAGGAAAATGAACATTTCCTGGACTTCCCCCACCTATCTCAATGGATTTATAGAAGTCTGAGAACTGAATAATTGCAATTTTGAAGCATAATCTGGTGATAATTAGCATGATTATTTTGATTAGGCAAAATTTCAAACTTTTCTCCTGCCATTTCCTTGACTATTTGAGCCATCTCAGTCAGGAAGAAATCATTTTTAGCTTTCCCTGATTTTACATTGACAACAAGAGCCCTGTGTATGACTAATATTCTAAACACTTACCTGTGCTGGTATTCCTGGTTCTCGTGAGGGAGGATATCTGTATGGGTCATTTTTATCTGGAAGAAAAACAGAAAAATTAAAATAAAACTGCCATAATTTGAAAACAAGGAGGGAAACGATCACACATCTGAAGATGAGTATAACCACTGGTAGTTTCTCAAGACACTTTTCGGAAACACTATTCTGGTAATTTTCTCAATTTGAGTCTAATCAATTTCATTAAATTAGTACACCGCGTGAGAGATGAGGGACTGCATGAAGCATTATACACCAGGGATTTGATCGCTAGATATTACAAAAATGATGTGTGACACGGATGCAAGTTTCGTGAAGAAGTGAACGAGAAAACTGACATGTCATATTGGCATGGTCCCCAGGTGTTAAGACGTGAACTACATGTTCTAAACTAGCTCCTTTTCACATGCAATAATCTCAGGTTACATCTAAAACACCTCAGTTGTATTCAACTATAGATTGCACTAGCAATTGTGTTGTGTTCCCATTCTAAACTGAACACAATATACTTTGTTATTCATAGGTTTCTAAACATCTAGTAAATTAAATGAAAACCCAATGTATAAGGTATATTATGTAAATAAGTAATTATGAGCCATAATCGAATGACAAAAAGTGCTCTATTATGATTTTTAAGCATTCTCATTCAAAAGTAATAATCTTCATGTTTAATACAAAGTAAAATACATTTGGAACAAAAGCACAAACATTTTACCTTTATTTTCATTGATAACCATTTAGCAGTTTACACATTACACATGTCAGCATAATTGCATAAAATAACAAATGAGCATCAATATTGCAACAAATGACTGAACGTTTTTCAAATTCACTGTATAAAACAGTAGTTGCATTAGTTGGTTAAAATCAAGCTGCCTTGTAATAGCAAGACTTTTGTTCCAAAACAACAAACAAACCGATTTACGGAACTACTTTCTTAACCCAAACACCAATCATAAACCAAGAGAGTTAAATGCAGCAAAAACATGAACAATATTTTTTCAGATCATGTTGTGTTCTCTATATTTTTTATTTAAAACACAGAGAAATCTTTGGACTTTTATGACAGTCCTTACTATTTCTTTCTGTATATTTATTGAAAAAGAAACCTATTACCAACATTTCCCTGATACTACTGATGCTGACTTTCACTGTAGATTAGATATCAAGTTCATTTCAAAACAATCATTTCCGGCCTAAGACAATGAATAATATAATAGACATACAATAGCATTGGCAACTGTTACAAGCAATAAAAGCATGAGTTAATGAACTACATGGAACCCTGAGCTCACTGGTCCAGGTTTAGACATTCCTCTGACAAGAACCGATCATTTTATTTTAGGTTACATTTCAACAAATCAAGAGAATTAAAGAGCCAATTTTGGTAAAAATTCTCTAATAAGTTTATATATATTGAAAACTACTTTAAAGGGGCGACATGCTCTGATTGAATGAGGAGGGGTTTATCAGAAGTTTAAAGATTGTGTAACAAAATTAATTCAACTCTTTCCAAGGGTAATTGTACCATAACATGATTGTATTCCAATTCTGCGAACGAACTTTCAATTCATATTTAATTCACAATAAAACCAAAATATGCTGACTTAAACACCAATTTGCTTTACTTCATAAAAACCTACAAAAGAAAACAAACTGAAAGGAGCCAGTTAAACTTGTTATGTTATTAGAGGAATTTTTGATCATCATGTCCTGAATGGATCAAAGTTTACCTTGATTGGCTACGAAATGTTATTTTCAATAAGTTACTCTGCAATGCCTGCCTATGAATACAAATCACACATTTCTAAATTTTATGGACTATGAAGGGCACTCAACAAATTGCAGCGATTCAATGAAATTCTTCAAATCAACTGAATCTTCCTTATTGCTGCACCATCACTTAATATGAGGGTCCTCTGTACTTGATCAATGGCAATGATTTACTAAAAACATACTGGGAACTTTTCTGAAAATTCCTTTTTTACTTAAAAAATAAAAGAACTCCATGTGGTGCAATGTTAATAAACTCTTAGCATTTACACATGTTTACCACATATTAAATACTTTTATAATCACCATAAATCGAATTTCCCCAGAAAGATTCTGAAAATGTAATCCTGAAGAAAGATTGTGGGAAAACTATTTTTATCAAGATTAGAATACAGTTTGTAGAGTATTCCATAGGCCCTCAAGTCAACATGTACTCCATAAAGAATAATTGGATGTGTGGAGGGAATTCTAAGTTTAAGAGGCAAGATCTGGGATGAGAATACCTGCATACTGGTGTATAATAAAATACTTTATAAGACCATTTTGCACATAGTAAAACATTTGTACATTTAACATTTATTTCAGAGAAAAAATAAGGTGTTCACGAATGAAGTTATGAATTCATAGTGTTTTGCTCTATTTTTCATTGAAACGGTTGAATCTGCAACAGCTGAAAACAACCCATTTATTCAAAATATAATTTCAATAAAATTTGCCCATAGTGAATATTAGATCATCATTTGCCAAAACAACTTTTTTCATGGTAACAATATCAAATCAACTATAATCTTTCAACATCTTTAATTCTGGACTTTTTGTTCACTTAGGTTTCTAATTTGGTTCATATAGTTGGAATGACAATGAGATATAATAAGATTTTCTATCCCCGAGTCGCCCATGGATTAAATTAAACGATAGTTAACAAGACGTCTGAAACAGTCCAGAATGCTATTAAGCCGAAGTAGAAGAAGAATCACCCAAACCTCTACCATCAAACTCAAATCACAAATTACAAACTTCCTCATGAAAAAGTACAAAAAGTATGACACAATAAATGAATTTGTAAAATGTGATTTTTATTCAAAGAGGAATTTATGTGTAAATTCATTAAATCCAATGCCTGAATAACTCGGAGAAATAGCAGAAAATTTCCTATCAAATTATTTGGAAGGTTAGCTTAGTTCCCTATATCCAGTTAATTCGCTATGGAGCAGATATGACAGAATAATGCTTAACTAAGGTCTCAGTGGTGGAAATGAAATCAATTTGGCCTAATCGTTAAATTTAAAGCGGCCAAGTTAATCTCCCTAAACGCTTGTTTTATATGATCGTTTTTATGAAGCATTTATTCAATCTGAGAATTATAGCCAATAAACATTATATACAACGTCCCTTGGTACGATATAATGGTCAAATTACAGTCCATAAAATGTGCTTTAAACTGATGCCAGGAATATAAACCGTATTATTGGGATGAAATCCTGAGCCATTTTGATATCAATATGAGAAATAAAAAATTGCAATAATAAATGTGAATAACAGAATTTATCCTCAAGTGGTAATACCCAACAAGAATATACCAAATTTAATCCGAAACAAAAGCCAATCCACTATGATACAATATACCTTGACCTTAAAGTATGCATAGCTCCCATTTTTATAATATCTGATAAGTTTCGACTGATTCATTTAGCAAAAAGAACACGCTGGGTATCTATAGCATTTTAACAGCCAATACAGAAACAGTATACAAAATCTGACATTTACAGAGTAACGTCCATTTTTATAAATCTAAATCTGATACACACAACTAGAAATCCATTTAAATTAGAGTCAGTAATGGAATCAACCTCTATCATATTACCTGAACTCTCAATATCTGAGATATCATCATATTCAGTGCTTTTCAACATTTCCTTCCTCATGTATCAACAATATAGAGTTGTCTAGGCGTTATTATTAACAAGCTATGTTACATCTTTAGCTTTCCATTGGTAGCATTCACTTGCCTTTCTATCTGTGCATTCAATTTCAACTCAGTTACTCTATCTGTTTCCTTCCATCACATGTATTTTTTAATATGAAACAATATTTGCAAATGTCAAATATTCACACAAAAACTAATATACTGTAGTATTATCTGTGTTGAAATCATATCATAATAATATATGAGGCCAAGCACATTCAGTTGTCTTTTTGTCTATTACACAGCTGATAAAGCAAAAATAAAATATTCATTGAGACAATTTTAAAATCTAGGATATAAAAACAGTTTATCTTATACAATAGCAAACACTCATCAAAGCAATGCTTAACTTTGAAAAAACTGGAGTTGAGATTTCCAAAAGGAAAATATCTATTTACGCAAAGGTGAAACAAATATTTAACTTAAACAGCCTTTTAGAGATATATTCTGCAGTATCTACTATTGTTGCATGTAACAGCTTGAAGAGTGGCAATCCAGCAATAACATCGGACAGATTCAAACTCATCATTTCAATAAACTTGTTAAAATCAATTTAATTTCACATCCGAGGCCAATGAATGTACTGTTAACTGTGGAAATGTCGTAAGCCAATGAGAAATAACTACAACAGCTAAAGATTAGATTTGATTTTGATCATGGAAAATTTGGATTGTTTTCCGTATGTACCATAAATGCTATATTAATCAAAGTATTTTCATCTGTTTAATAGTCTAGATGCGAGTAAAAATAATCTTGATTTACGTCATTAGAACACCTAGAAATGTGGTTTTGAAAAGAGTTTATCAACTTTGAAAATTTAATTTTCTTTGAAAAAGTGACTTCTAGGTCGGGGAGATTCCCCACAGACCCCATGTTGTAAAACCACAAAAAGTGAAGTATCTTTTCTTGTGTTGGGCAGATAATATTTTCTTTCACTGGACATATTTTAATTTGTATAACTATCACATACATAAGGGTAATGTGAAAAGTGAACCACTAAAACTGATGAACATTCAAGTTTAAGGGAATTTTGTAATACCCTGCCATGTTATTTCCCCCGAATCAGCCACCTGGTGGCGAAACTGGTAACTACCTGTAGAATACAACTTGCCCTATCTGAATCACAATGCTCATGTTTCATAAGAAAAAACAATTAAAAAATTAAATTGGAATAAATTTGAACTATTGCTTGAATAAAATGTATTTCCATTTTGAAAAATGTTGAACAAGTTATTAGTTAATCAGCAACATTATTTCCTCTGTTTGGGCTAACTTAACAAGAAAAATACTTTGCCAACTTTAAAGATTGCTCAAATTTCTCAAATGTAATGATTTAAAATTCCATATTTCTATTTCATCTTATTGAAATCAATAAACAATATTTGAACTGCTTTTTGTACATAAAACCCACTTATAAGAAATTGACAACTTAAAAAACATAAAAAGCAAAACTTAATGTCTGTAAACACTCAAAAGTGAAGTATTTGATGAACATGTTATAGTGTTCATAAATGTAAATAGAGTGGCTATAGCACAATTGTGATGTCATTGTAAATAAAGGGTGAGCGAAACAATGGAAGGGTGCCACAACAATGTCCTTTAACCTGCTGATTTAACATAACTTCACCTTTTAGGTATGAAGTCACTCAAATTCTACATACTAAACAAATACACATATTATACCAACTCTCGGTCTTCTAACATTTATATATTGATGGTTTTATATTACATGTACCCTTTGTCCTCCCTCAAAAAATCAAATTTCAAAAATATTTCCTTGACTTTAATTTCCAGACTTGTGAAATCAAAAGTGAAAGGCAAAACAAGTCTTATAAGAAGGATTACCTTTTTAAATATCAAACTTCTAATATGGATACAAAAAGATAAAACAGGTATCTTTATAAAGGTACCATCATGACAAATAAATTATTACATTTAAATGAAAGCCTAGTAATAGCTTAATACTTCACCCATTAAAATAAGAAGAGCTCTTAATAACCCTTTTCAAGAGAGATCACTTAAAGGGACCCAACACCATGGTCACATGATCAGTCGTGTGGAGGTAAGCTCCCAGTTGAAATAAAATCACTGTCCTCCTTTGGTTTCTGTGAAAAGTAGCTAATACCCTCATGTATTGGTCAGTTTGTGTGTCACACGACTAATCCCCACCATATGCTTCATTCAACATATTTTATGCTATTGAGCTGCATATATAAACAGTACTTTGCAACTAAGGTCATACAGTATACTTACCCCTTGCAAATTGTAATTTATTGAATTCACAGTAAACCCATCAATTTTTAAGAAAACAAAGAATATTGTTCTCATGGATCTATTATTTATGTGAGACTAACTATGAAAATATAAATATGAAATAATATGTTAGCTTGAAGTCATATATAAGATGAAAATATATGTTCATGCATTTGCATTTTTCCAAAGGGAATATTCCCATGTAAGTAAATACAGGTGCAATATATAATTTATATGTATATCTATGTCATCTGTCTATACATGCGCGTATAGCCTAGTGTTACATGTGAACAAGATGGTTCTGGAAAGAAATGAGCGTGGCAGATTTGCTAAAATGCCACATACACCACAAAAGCAAGACCAATTTGAAAAGAAGTTCATTATTCTCAAGGGTACACTTCAAGTGAAAGCTACATTGCTACAGGGTGGCCTATCATTCTGAGACAAATGTATTATCCAACGATTGTGATTTTCGAAGCTAAAATATGATATCTTGAGCAGATGGAAATACATTCCCATGAGATATGTATATATAGTCAAAAGTGATAACTATTTATTGAGTGTAATGAAATGTATCCTTCGCTAACTGCTTTTGTTTGAGATAATTATCATGAAATGTTTTTAAATCAATTTTTATGTGTGTCATTGATCCTAATCCACCCTGTAGTCTGGTGTTTGTAGAGCATTGCGACTCGTACAACTTATTCTCACAAATATCAAACCTCATTTACTAATTAATTTTTTGTGTGAATATGAAGAGTCCAAGCATTGCTTTTTTATATTTATTGTATAGCTATATTTAGCCTTGATATCCATGATTTTTTAAAACAAAATCTCACCGTTAGATTTCGGGCTATTCATGTTTACTCATTTGTCTAATTGGAAAACAATGCAAATCTCATTTTTTCAAAGGAAAAAAATTGAAATTCTAAGACGGTGAAAAATCATTAAAAAATACACAGATTCAGAATCCGGCAAGCATTTTCCCTTATTCCTCTCCGTTAAGAAGTTTTGCAAGGTGTTGGATTCCTTTAACTCTTCATATTTCAAATAAACCTTTGAACTCACAGAGCAAATCAGAGTCATTCATCTTTCATTGGGTATTCCAGAAACATTTATATATGTTAATATATATAAACATGGCTTTATACTATTCTCTGATTTTTGAATTCTAAACTGCAAAATGATTGATGCTAATCAGAGGTTAGTTATTAGCCATGATCTCAGGGTAGCTCTCGATCAACAAGATCCAAAAAAGATAAGACTTTTTGAAAGGAAACTCCAGACAAGAAAACTCTCAAAAGAGAATGAAGAGTTCAAGACATTGAATTATTCTACTGATTCTGACGATTATGCTGGTTTTACTTTTTACAGGTAACGTAACCATAGAAACCAGCTTATATTCAACGTGATGTTAATAAGATGAGGGGAAAAAGGTCAGAATAAAAACTACTCATGTTAAATTTTCCTTCCTCAGGCTACAACTTAATGGAGTTTTTATTACGAGTGCAACTTTGGCAAGACTGCAGAACAGAGTAACTTCTGATTGGTTGAGAGAGTTTGACCTCTGACCCCTTTTAAAGAAATCCACTGAACCTTCCAGGACCATACTCAACAATCAACATCTAATTCTTCTATTCCCGTCACATTTTGTTTACGAGATAAATTAGTGTAACTCACAAAGAACAAATCAATTCATTATACAAAATTTTTCATATTTTCACCAACTCAACTACTGGTCTTGGGCTGCTTCCCTCAATCTACAGTGTCCTAAAAACACAATTGATGAAATCGCCAGTGTTCAATAAATGGGAGTATGCAATGCACATTAAGAAACATTCGCTGTTTATAAGTTATTTACGTGATTTACAAGATAGTATAAATCAGCATAAACAGGTAAAAGATCACTCGACTTGCAATAAATCTTAACGCAGGTGTTTTTAGCCGGCAAATACACATGAACAATTGAAAATACATCATTGATTCTGTGAGTGAAGGTTCTGCCTCAAGCCAGTAGTTATGGAATCCACACAGAGATTAACTTTAATAACTTCTCCAGTTTTATACCAACACAATATCACTCATCTGGGTTCTACACTGTAGCTATATAATTCAGGTGTAGAGTTATTTCTGTATCATTCTTGAAACTTATATTATTCACTAATGCATATTACACTATGATATAATGTTTAATAGTTCTCTACTCAGTTATATTGAATATGTCATGTGATTAGCCCTACCTAGCTTGAATTAATATTTAACAAACACAAACGATGAGGATCATGATGACAATCGAAGGTCCAGGGGGATTTCATGAGCTGGGACAATGATGCCCCATCTTGAATTATGATTGTCTTGATTTTTAAAGCAAGCCAAAGAGAGTTCAATATAGAGAGACATTGTGCATTGAATACACAAATTCAGGGTTCACTTACTCATTAAAGCAGGCATGTCACCATTCTGTCCCGTAGCAAAGGGATGCTGCATGTCATTGAGCTGGCCATTGAAGCTTTGTGTCCCACCTCCCTCAATATACTGAAAATGAAATCACCAAAACTACACCAAGACCCTATGTTGGCCTGCTCCATTCACTCACACATAGGTTTACAATGGAGGAGGAGAGACTGTCAGAATTGATGAAATATTAATACTTACAGGGAAAAATCAGATTTAGTGTCTTGTAACAAATAAATCTATTATGTTTAGCAGCAAACTATCACAAATACAAATTGCAAGGGACTTCACCATCAGAACCTATATGGAAACCACGAAGAATATTCTTGCTAATAATGCATGTCATAATCTTAATTGTTAAATGCTTGTGATATAGTAATATTTCCAAAAATAAAATTACATGTAAGTAAACATATAAATGAATTCAGTAATAGATATATGTAGTACATGAAGCATTAATTTCAAAGCTGTTGCGTTATCTTGCTGCCATTCTACATTAATTAATTCACTTAATTTACACTAAATTTGAAGCTGTCAATCATTAGATCAAATAATAAGATACAAACCTCTCTTTTCTATTAGATTTAAACTCATATGGTTATAGGACAAAAAAACATATTTTGCTTTTTATTAGGTATAGATCTGGTCTGATAGTTTGGTCTAGTTTTGTTATGGGGTATATAACTTACCCTTACCCTAGAGTCAGTCTGTAAGTGTGGAATAGCTTAGTATATTATACTTACTCTGAAGCTGGTATGGTTATTTGGACTAGCTTAGGATTACATACTTTTGGAGAGCTGGTCTGAGAGTTTGAACTAGTTGAGGATTATATACTTACTCTAGAGCTGGTCTGATAGTTTAGACTAGCTTGGGACTTCTGGAGAGCTGGTCTGAGAGTTTGAACTAGCTTGGGACTTCTAGAGAGCTGGTTTGAGAGTTTGAACTAGCTAAGTACTTCTTGAAGGCTGGTTTGAGAGTTTGAACTAGCTTGGGACTTCTGGAGAGCTGGTTTGAGAGTTTGAACTAGCTTGGGACTTCTGGAGAGCTGGTTTGAGAGTTTGAACTAGTCAAGGATTATATACTTACTCTAGAGCTGGTCTGATAGTTTGGACTAGTTTGGTTATTGGACTCCCAAGTATTCCCATTATCCAGTGCTGCAAATACAAAAATAAGACACAATAAATGATCAGCTGTACAAATATACATCCGCGAAACTACATCAGAACATTATGACTGCTGTGTTATAATATGTGTGATGAGAAGAAAAGGGCCACATATAATTTAACTAATCAACAATTCAACAAGTCATTCTTAATACGATCAAAAGCATGCAGTATTATTTATATTAAATATATTCAACATAAGTATATAAATTTTCAAACAAAATGACAAGATAAAAATACGGGTAATGTTTAATGTCATGTCTCAAGTTGATTCCATGTTGTTACAATTTCACTGTAAACATATCCACATGAGATACTATAATATAAGGAAACACTGCACTTATTAGCCCCTATAATCCCAGGAATTAATTACAGTACAAAGTTAATCACGGATCAAGTAGACATGCTCGCTCTTTTATGAGTTATTCCACCAAATAGGTACCCTTTAAAAGAGTATCTACACCCTCAATATCACATATGCTAGTCAGAGGACATTATAGTAGCTAATGCTAATGAGGTCAGGGTAAACAAGGCATAAACATGCAAAATGTCAACCACCTGCCATTTGTTGCAGACAGCAACAGCTGAATACCAAACACCAACCACCATCCACAAAATGGTTGAAGACTATAACAATATGTCATCACTTGTGGTGGTGACATAAAAACTTTATTTTCATTATGGCCCTTTTCTGTCTTTATCATTTCATTCTTGTCTTGGAGACTTTACATAATGAATCTCTGGTAATGGGTTGTATTTATATACTCCTATGATTCAACTTAATAAATCATCATTTTGACTTTAATATGTGTTTGTTCCGGATTATTATATCAATAGTTTCTATTGTTTTAGCTATACATCACTAGCGTAATAACTATTATAAACAAATTCATGAATATTATTATTTTTATATTAAACGTTTGTTGATTCAGGCAGTGTCTGCAAACATTCCGATCTTTTATTGAATATATAGAATTATGTCAAGGTTAATCTTCAACCAAATGGAAATATAGCACATAGCACAACATACATGTATATACATGTATTATATAATAACCACTGATTTTAGGTAACTCTTTAAATGATACGCATCCATTAGGAAAATCTTTAATTGATACACATCAATGTTGAATTGATACAAGTTCAGTATATTATTCATTCTCCTACATCAGTTTGATTTCAATCCTGAAAACTCCATACCCATTCTTCAATAAATTCAAGACGCATCATTACCTAAACCGGATAACATAAAAATAAAAATATGATATTTTACAAGAAATGAAGTTGACAAATAGAATTTCCAATTTTAGATTCAAATGCATATAGAAGGCATATAAGATCATGAAGACCAACAAAGAAGGCTCATTAGTTTTGAAGATGAGTACCTAAGCTAATATTTCCGTTGAAGTTATTTCCGGAAAGTCTATCCAAGAAAAGTATTTGCTTAGCTTAATGACACAAAAATCAATGATCTTACGATAAACTTGAATATATGCCTATGGCACAAAATAAAGGGGTTTAATGCAGCGTGGATTACTCTAATTGAAAGGTAAATGTTCACCATTGGATTAATTGATTGCTCAAATAAACCTGGACTTTCTAGTATTTTGTCGTATCAATTACCCAATAGGCTTGAAATATTGTCAATATAAGCAAAGATATTACAAATATTAACTTTGTACTTAATTATTTTCCTTTTGTTAAGTACTAAATACAGTGATAAAGGTGGATATATGTCAAGGTGTTACCACAATAATTTTTCCAGTAAAATAAATAAGCTTGTTCAATATTGAACCCACACATTTTATTTTAATTAGTCAATAGCAGAAGTGTTTCCAATGATAAGAAAAAAAATTCAAAAACATTAATTAATATAGGGCCTCTTTGTAAGTTTCAACAGTGGCAGAAAAACAAAGATCATTTTGCAGAGTTTATTAAATTAGATGGGGTTAAAGCACTGCTATACAAAAAATATAAAAAGCAAATAACAGTAACTCAAAAGTGTTAACTCCAGATAACCATGATATAGCATGTGAAGATGATATTACTCACAATCCAAGATGAAACATTGAACATGATAAGTGATAGCCTCAAGCAGATTGATACAACCAAAGCACAAGAAAGCTACACTGAACATGAAAGTTAAAGTTATCCATTAAATGCCTTTCCAAGTTTCCATTAAGTCAAGTGTGAAGTAACTCTCATCAGGTGAAAGCTAAAGCTGAGATAAGATGAAACTATAAGGCTCATCACCTTCATCCAGACTTGTAGTTTACAACTCTGATTTATGGCATTCTATGAAAATTGCCCCTTGTATACAAGCTAAAGCTCTGTAACTTGTCCAATTTCATAATACACCCTATGCTTAGTGAGCGGACCTAATTTCAAGGGTGATGGTAAAGACGAGGCATGGCGCCCAAACCTGGCCTGTAACTAGGTGCACTGATGCTTTCTTCGCAAATTACATCGCCATTGCTCGTCATCGAAATTCTGATCGCCGAATAGACACTCTAGTAAACATTCATTTTGCATTGGATGTACATAACTAGAGACCGCCTTATTTCGCATATATGAAAAAATAAAACATATCTAGGTACATATATCTTTATATGTGACATCGATCAGGAATTATTGACATATTGACAATATTAGGTTGTAATTTCTTGCGGTAAATTCAAATTGTATCTTTAAACGACTGTTTCATCTTAACTATTCGTTTTATTGGATGTAAAACAAACGGTATGCATAGTTTAACATCTTTCACTTCTAAAACAGCATAAAATATCACAATATCATCACCTTATGCTGCAATAATACGACTTAAAAGATTATGGTACTAATATTTTTTGGTTTTTGGGCGCCCTGCCTCGTCTTTACCACCACCCTTGAAATTAGCTCCGCTCACTAAGCATAGGGTGTAATAAAAGCTTAAAATAATATGATAGCATCAGGAATGAAAATAATAGCATCCAAACCAATTAAAATATATAGATGTATACATATTCATCTACAAAAAAAGTGAATAAGGGCATAGCAGTAAAAATGAATATTTAGAACATGGTTGTTGTTTACATAAAACAATATAAACAGGGCAGATACAAATGTCTAATAAAAAAAACAGAAATATGAAAATGCAAAAATGAAATCAATCATATGTAAATCGGCAGTTACTGTCATATAGGCTCATCAACAACAAGTCCCCGGAAAAGGTAATCGTCCTGAATGATATCTGGGAAAATACAGACCCCCATCAATGAATAGGCCTAGAAAAGTCATTTCCTCTTCAAAAATAAATGCGGATCTCGGGGAAATATTATTACCTGAAGTTCCAGTTAGAATAGAGATCAATTAGTGAATTCAGTTGAGGAACTAATCAGCAACTAACTACTCACTGAAACTTCCATTAACTATGAACAGAAATTATGTCTTCAAGCCATTATGGGAAGATATTATTCTTTTGTGGAAATGATGATTATTTCTATAATAGGGATGTTCTAAATGGCTGAATGGAGGGATAGAAAGCTAAAGGAGCAATTGCCTCTTAATGGCAGCTTCTGCATCAGTTGAATTACTATTTGTGTCTTTCATAATTTCATTCTCAAGATCAAAATAAACTGAACAATTTTTGTGAAGATTAAGACCATTAATATTATTTTTTATTAAAAACTTAGTTTTAAAGATAACATTTATATGCTTTCATAAATCTAGTTTATATACAATTTGAATAAAATGCCATGTTACATCAGTAATAATTAATTCAAACATATGTCAGAAATTCAACAATTGTTTCAAAGCATCATTAATTTTGTTTCGTTAGAAACGGTGATTTTGACTGCCTTCAGACCCAATATATTCTCATTGGGTTTCTCAAGAGGGAGGAGGTCAAATATGGAATAAACATTATGTATAGTGGTAGCTGATGATTCAAAGTGGTTCCAAACTGTACTTTTCAATCTATATTCTGAAGGAGATTAAGTAACTGGTATGCACATTATATAAGCAATACTTGGGAAAGTAAACCGTGCAATTTTATGAATCAGTTTATTTATGTTTCAAACTTTTCACTCTCACTTGGTAGTATCTGTTAACACCTACTTAAACCTATACAGCAACTCTAAAATAGGGATTTCGTTATTCATCCATCTAACAATAGATCTAAGTAATATAAAATGTATTTTATGGGGACATGAAATGCCAGAAGGCGATTTGCCCCAACCCTATCTATTGATTGTATATTTGTTTGTATTTATGAAATAAACCTATTGATTAAAAAATAATAATAAAATGTATCAACAGCAAGCATGACAGAGAAACAGATGAAATGAAAAGATACCTTCTCTGCTTCCTTAATTCATTCAGTGGAATAATCAAGACCTGTGTCCGGTACTTTTTGGATGAAATTTTCATTCTAGTGCTGATTCCAGTAATTAATGAATTCAATGTTAATACTAATGGTCAATGAACTACTTTTTATTATAACTACTCAATAACAAAATATGTCCAAAGTATAATTCTGAACCACATCACTCTAAGATTGAAACCTGAATTTTCTGCAGTGAATGTGAACAACAGTATTAGAGCTTGCTGGCAGTACATACAATTTACAATATACAATTCATAAAAACAGGAAAACATGTAAATGCAATTTATATTTTCATAAATTCATATTTCATATTCACAGAGCCCTACTAACTTGATTCATTTTAGTTTGAAAGGGAGAAACACATTAAACAACATTTTTGCTTCCCAAGGCTGAGACCACAAACCGTTAAATTGATAAAAAATAGACAAATTACACCTGAGTTAACTGGAAGACTAAACTGAATAAAATGTCATCACATCACATAACAAACATTCCTGTATATGTTAAGCCAACATTTTATTTAACTGATAATTTTAACCAAACATACATCTTAGTAAAGAACTCAAAATATCCATGACTTGCAGCACTGATAAATAATTGAACTGCTCTCAAAAGAATTACATGCATT